AGAGAGAGAGAGAGAGAGAGAGAGAGAGAGAGAGAGAGAGAGAGATTTGCACCCAGCTCCAGGCCCATGGCTCTCAGTGATAACCCTGACAGGGTCACTTATGGGGAGATCACACATTGAGACACCGGACTGGCTCTACCCATGTCCCTGTGGGAGGCTTCAGGAGGTCTCTGGGACCCAGAGAGGAAAACGAGGAGTTTGTGGGGTAAGAGTGTCTACTTAGAAGACTTTCAGTGTACCCTGGGGAACCAGGTCGTACCTCCTCATCCACCTCTTTTTCTTTGGCTTCTTGGTCCTCCAGTGGGAGGGCAGGTTGCTCCAAGTCCTCCTGTAGTGGAGTGAAGGGGACACAATGCTATGGGAGGACATACCGACCCTCCTGTCAGCTGCCTGTAGCCAGCACCTCCTCTTACAGGTCTCAGAGATGCGTAACGGCCCTTCATCATCTTACTACCCTAGAGGTGCAGGATGCTACCCTGAAACTCAGCTATAAAGGAAATCCCAAGTCATGGGTATTCCCCCACCTACCCACAAACTTGACCTCCTTAATGAGAAAACCTGGAAGGATGTAGAATGGGGGTGTCAGTGGGCAGACACCCTTGAATCACATATGCCCCCTTCCCCATAGCTCTGTGGGCAGCACGACGCTGGCATTGTTTACAGGGAACCTGAGGCCAGGAGACTGGAGCTAGGGACCTAGGACAAGGACCAGAGCTCAAAGCATCAGGGCACCACTTGTTCCTGGCCTCTCTCAGGTCTTCAATAGCAGGGCTCTTCTTCCTGCCTTCACGTGGCCTCAAGGCTTAGGCCTATCTTCCATCTCTCTGCTCACCAGGACATTTGCCTAAAATGGTCATGATAGTAAGGTATTTGGAACCAGAGTAATGATCAGCCTGGAGTCTTGTTTCAGTGTCTGCCTGTGGAGGGTCTGGCTACCTCTCTCCTACCTCAGGGCCAAAAAGAATGGAAGACAAAGGACACAGACCAGTTGGCCAAGGTAAGTCAGACTCTCTGGGCAAAGGGCCCACCTAATCCGCTGGTACCCATGGCATGAGTGGCCAGACAGTCAATGCTACATTTCAGCCCCATGACACAGCACCATTTCAAATGAGAAAATGGATATGCAAAGATCTTAGTTTTCCAAAGTCACACAACTAGCAGAAACATGGCTGCATAGTCCAGGGGTGGGTGACCTGTGTTGGCCCTGGAAACAGATGACTAGGATGCACTGGTGACCCTCTTCTACCCACTCCTCAGAGCAGGGTTCTGCAGAGCTGGCTATTGGACCCTCAGGCTCCACCACTGAGGCATCCTATTGTAAGTGTGGGGCTGGAGACAGCAGGTCTACTCAAAGGTTGGAATCTTATTGCTGCACAATCTACACTCAGTCTCTTAGAGCATAGCAGGACCTGGGCACCCACATAAACTCCGTGCTCACTCAGACTAGCAGCCACAGGGCCTGGCACATTCCTAATCTCTCTGGGCCTTCCTTCCACATCCTGTTTTGTGGGATTTGGGGGCCCATTAAATGGGTTAATAAGCATAAAATGTGTAAGGCAGAGCTTGCTCTGTGGCAAGTGCTGGGACAGCTTATACAGTTGGTATCCACCTTCTAGCAAGTCCACTGCCACTGTTCTTTCAGCTGCCTGACACACATATACTCACACACACACACACACACACACACACACACACACACACACACACACACCACAAGCTCACACAAAGATTTCCGCAGAGGGTGGAGTCAGAGCCCTGCTGCTCGTCAACCACAAGGGGGCACTCCTTCTACCAATGCTTCATAGGGAGGCGGCAGCCAGGTCCTGGGAGGAGGTTTGGACAAAGGATGGCAGGTGTCCCTGATGGTGATAGACACTTTAGCCTGATAGCCACAGCCCAGAAGGCTGCCATTCACCATGTTGGGCCCTGTATTCACTTGTAAACTACATTTTCTGTTTGCCAAGAGTGACAGCATGGACATGGTTTGAATCTCACTTTCCTTATGTTAAAATGAACCCCAAATCCCCACTCTAGGGGTGTTATGAGGATTCCAGAAATGAATGAGTATGACAATGTCAAGCCCCGCTCTTAGGTCTGTAGAGTCAATCAGCGCCCAAGCATTTCTCCTTGTGTGTCTCTTGTCACCAGCCCCTCTAGGAAAGGATAAGAGCCAGGCTCACCTTTCGCACCACTCCAGTGGTGACCACGATGTTCTCTGCCTCCTCCACGGTCTTGGTGGCTACTGTGTTGACGCTGGTGACCACAGCCTCACTCACGGCATTGGCTTGCTCCTTGGTCTTCTCTGCCACTGCAGAGGATGCTGGCTGGACTCAGTCCTGACCCTTCCCACTTCTGGCCTTCCTCGGTTGTGCAGAGCATCCCCTTCCCAGGGCTTGGGTGACCTACAACCCTCCCCTGCCCCTTTCTGACTCTAGGGCAATGTGATAGGGGAAGTGGGAGGCCTACTCTGGTCTAGCTTCAGGGGATTCAGGGGTCTGGGTCCACCTGAGGCTTAGGGCTCCAGTTGACATAAGGAGGATTCTGAGCTTGGACCTTGGGTACTAGATACAGGAGTCCTGGGATCCCTTACCTGATGTCACGCTCTGTACCACATTCTCCTTGGTCTTGGTGCCTGTTGTGGGAAGGGTGTATTTGGGCAGTCAGGGTCAACACACCACCAAACAGTGGTGTCTGGGGACAGCAGCCCCTTCAAAGGGCCATTTCCTGCTGTGTCTGGAGGACAGGGACAGACGGGAAGGAGACAGAACAGGATGAGACCAGGCCTGATGTAGGGCCTAAGGTCCTTGCCTGGGTGTGGCTTGGTCCTCAGAAGAAGTGGCTGGATAAGACAGAGAGAGCTGAGTCACCGGCTTGGCCACACCTGCTCCTCTTCTGAGGGAGCCCAGGGAGCTGGGGTAGGTTGGACACTGAACCAGGGCCCATCATCAGAGCCCACCCCTTCTCTTCTCTCCGGGCCAAGTGGGGCCCTATGGTTTAGCCTGGCTGCAGCAACTTCCATTGAAGAGGTTAGAGTCCACCCTCTTCATGCAGCTCATGGCCTTGAGTTCTCCAAACTCAAGAGACCTCAGGCATGTGCATGTGCAGCTTCTGTATGTACACAAACAAGTGGTCACCCATGTCCAAGGTCTGAGTGGTGCTTTGATCCTGTTCTAGAGACCCTGCTCCAGCCCCAGGAATCCAAAGGCAAACAGACACTGGCATGAACAGGAAACTGTATTATAACTTCAGGATATGGGGACCTTGCCTCAACAATCAGGGTCTCATCCCTCCCCAAATGACTCCCCCAACCCCCAGAGGCTGGGGAGGAAGGTCAGGCAGAAGGGAAGGTGGCCGGTACCCGTCTCCATTACAGAGCCCTCTGCCCCACCCTGCCCCACCCTGACACACTTACCCACATACATAACTCCCTCCTTGGTCTTCTCAGCTGCCTCCGTCACCCCCTGCTTGGTCTTCTCCACAGCACCCACCACACCCTCCTTGGCAATGGAGAAGCCCTTCTTGAAGACGTCCATGGCAGTGGTGAGGATGGGACCTGTCTCGTGCGAGCTGTGGACTGGAGCTGGCAAGTGCTGCTGCAGCCGCTGTCCCCGCTGCTGCCTCTTATTGACGTGGATGAAATATTGATGCTGTGGCTGCTGGCTGGAGCTCAGCCAGCCCAGGGCAGTGTGGGTGTGGGGAAGGCGGGATGGAAAGAGGCAGTCCTCAGGGGGATAGCATGGAGCAGGGCCTTGGGCCCCTACTGGCTCAACCCTACCCTGCTGAGCCCTGTCCTCCCTAGGGCCTGCAGGAGGCTGGACACATTCTAATCCATTACTGTCTCTCATTCACCCTGAGGAGGCCCTTGCGTTCTCAGACCCAGGTTGATGTGTTTGTACACAGAAGGTAAGTACTCTGGCTGGTGCTGCAGTGTCCCAGGGAGGGTAACAGAGTCAGCACCTGTCCAGTGAGTGACCAACCTGCAGGCTGTCCTGGCTTCCCAGTTACCCACAACATCCTGGATGCTCCTGAGCCTAGCTCCAGTCAAGCCAGTTAGAAGAGCACAGGCTAGGAACACACAAGGCTTCCCATACCCTGAACTGGCTGCATGCTGTGGTGATCCTAACTCAGCTCCTTTCCTTCTCTGAGCCTCCACCCACCTGCTGATTCCCATAGCCCGGCACTGAAAGGTGCTGAGGAGGCATGATGTATCTGCTCCCCACTTCCTGGCAGTGTGGGTGGGCACCAGATCTCCTGAGGCTGACAGACCGCTTCCTACAGCTTTATCTCCAGGCCCAGAACAAGGACCTATGGGGATGAATGTGGTAGGACTGCCTCATGTGTCTCCCACATCCCCAGTGTCCCTAAACCAAGTGCTCTTGGGACACAGGAACTGGCCTGAGAGGTTGGTGGCCTCAGAGGGGCTAGAGAAGGGGGGCGGATGAGACTCACCGGGTGGGCCGGCCCAGGCTACTTCCTGTCTTTGTAGTCCCTTGTTTTCTTTTCCTTCTGAGATTTAACTTGAAGACCACGTCACTGGCAGATTTTGGAGTCACTTGCAAGGTTGGGTCTCAGCAGATCCAGCTAAACCTGCCCTTCGCCATGATCCTGATGCTGCTGCTGGGCCTTGGGGGACACCTGGGCCTCGGTTGGCACCTGGGTTGGGGACTGCTAGGGGTCTGGGCACAGGCCCCTGGTACCATGTTCTCTGACCTCCATAGCCCAAGGCCACCTGCAGACTGGGAAACAGAGGCTGAGGACGCCAGCAGGGATCCCATCGGACGGTAAGGAGAACCTGGTCTTGGCAGAGGTTGTGGGCTAACACCTGAGCCCCAGATACACATCTGTGGAATAGGCTAATGCTATGGTATAGCTGGCAGGTGTTAGGTACCTAGATCGGACACTCCAGAGACCAGCCTGAGAATACAGGGGTGATCCTTGCCTGACCCATAGCTGGGACTGGGCTTGGGCAGGGTGGGCACCGTCAACCACCAGCACAGGATTCAGAAGTACTGAAGTTCTAGATGCTTCCAGCTGAAAGAACTTTGAAAGAACTCAGTTCTGAAAGATGAGTCTTAGGGGACAGCCACTACTAAGGAAAAGATTTGGATCTGAGTGTCCGGAGTACCAGGCCAGGATTGCTGAACAGTGCCACAGCAATGCTGTGAGGCCCCCTAGATGGACAGCTGAATTCAGACCGAAAGGTTCCCAGCCTTTGGGTGCCCCACCCTCAGGGTCTGGAGTCTCATGTCCAGTATGTCCAAGGTAGAGCAGCAGGTGTCACTTGTTGGACCAACCTCCGGGTCTGACACCTTGCCAAGCATTATCTTCCTTGATCTCCCCAATGGCCCCACTCACAGAGGAAGAACCCACAGCTCACAGAGGCTGTGTAACTTGCCCCAGGTCACACAGTAAGGGAGAGCTGGAGCAGACTCTGAGGATGACCTTTGCTCTCATACCAGACTCTCTGAGTGGAACCTCTAGATCTGTAGGGTGAGCGGCCAACTCATATACATTGCAGTCTTCCCACTGCCTGTATGAAGGGGACTGTAGTGGGTTCCCAGACAAATCTGCTTGGGCTGGGTCTCATTCCACTTCCAACGCTTCCAGGCAAATATCTGTTGGGCACTTTTTGGAAAACAGTCTTAGCTGGGGAGAAGTTCATTGAGGAAGGGGGGCTGGTGGTGTGGAGAGATGTGAAGAGACCTGCCCTGCCTTGTCCATCACCAGTTCTGCTTTAGGTTGACAGGCACAGGTTAGTGGGGAAAGTCCAGCCACCCATCTCTGACTTCAGGACCCAGGACCAAGTCTCCTTTCTCCAAAGCCACCAGCTCTGTATGTCCCAGTTTGCAGGCACCTCTTTCCCTTTGATGAAAGGAAGGGTGAAGGGACTGGAGGAGATAGGAGAGAGGCGTTGGTCCTCTTTCTTCCCATTTGCTTGTGGAGAGGGACTGCTTTTTCTCTTTGACACAAGGGAGTGAGGGACCCTCTATTCCCAGGTAGTCTTGCATGAAGGGAATCATGCACACTGCACTGGACTGGGAAATGCCCAGGTGACCCAAGCCAAGACTCCTGCCTGCTGGGATTTCCTTCCCACATCCCTAGGAGCTCAGACCCCACAGTCAAAGCTGTCTAAGCATCCGGAGGGGCTGGTGAGAAAGGAAGGAAATACTGAGGCTTCCTGGGCTGATTGCTTCCCATGTTCCTGTGACAGGAGGTAGAAGTGCTCTGCTCCTCTGACAGCAGAGGAAGGAGAGGGGGCAGGGAACAGACACTGTGCTCCAGGACTCCAGCATGTGAGCAGGGGAGGTAACAGCATCAGTGACCAAGCCCCCACTGCCAGAGTCATTTGCCCTTCACACCAGTTTCCAGAGACTGGGGACTAAGTAAGCCTGGGTTTCAGAGAGGCATAAGAGCCTTTAGAAGGGCAGCTGGAACAGAACAAGTTGGTGTTCCACAGCCTGTGTCCCCATACTTTTATGTTGCAGGGTAGAGGAGAGATATGGTTAGTCACTTCCTAGGCCCTGGGGATCCTGCAAGGTCAGGGGCAGGGAACACACATGTACACATATGGACCTCACCAGGAGGAGGCTCTTCCCAGCTCCTTGGTTTGGCTGGGTAAGTAGAATGTGGGCTTCTCAAACCCAGGTCAGCTGTTCAGAGACACTGAGTCCATGGTGGGACCAGGTTGAGCCTGGGCAAGATGACCCATTTCCCATGTTGCTATGACATCTCAGAGGTGTGGTGAGCATTCAGTGCTTCAGATCTTTTAAAGGTTGGGGACAGGGAGTCCCTGTCCTGGACCCTCTCCTCCCCACTCCACAGGGAAGGAGTGTGGGCAAGGATGCTTCTAGCAGCAGGCTTCTTCTAACAGAAGGAGTGTTTGGAATTTTGTAGTTGACAACTCAGGGCCCAGAGGAGTTTAGCACGTAGCTGAAGATCACACAGCAGTAAGTAGATCACCTGCTCCAGCTCCTAAGCACAGGGCCCTGGGCTAGGAGGGAGAGCCCCATTGGCCAGGACTGAGATCCTAAGCCCATGCCCAGGGATCCTCAGATCCAGGTTGGCTTTTGATCTGGTTCCCCTGCCAAGACATATCCCTTCCCCCTGCTCAGAGACAGAAGCCTGGAAAGTGTGGCTAATGGCTAGGTGCAGGCCTCAGAAAACAAAACCTCCAAAGAGCAGAGCCTCAACCCCCAGGACTAGAAGCCCTGCTGAGGTGGGTTCATTGGCTAGTAAAGATGCATTTAAGGGCTCACACTGCAGCAGCACATTCATTATACAGAAAGCACTGGCCCTTCCCTGCTGCAGGCCTGTCAGCCTTCACCACAACCCCTCTCTGTGTCTCCAGGGACGCATCTCCATATTTCCAGGAGTGGTGAGAGGGACTGGGTCAAGGTCACCAGAGTCCAGGAAGGAAAGGGGAGGAGAGCTCAGGCTTCCCACTCCCATTCTGGTTCAGCAGCCTCTCATGTGTGATCCACACAGGGTGGGGGTCAGACCCCATAATCACTCTTGACTGGCACCTGCCCCTCAGTACGTACACCCTTGGAAGATGAGGGTGCCCAGTATGTCTCCCCATAGGCGGGTACAAAAGAGGGAGCAGTTCTGAGGCAGAGGGTGTTGAGAACAATAGGGCACTTTAGCATATGGAGCCTGGGGCACATGTGCTGAGGGCCAGCCAGGAGCTGCCAAGACCCGGAGGAAACCAAAGCAAAGGTCAGGAATGTTCCCAGGGCTTCTGGGCCAGCTGCCTGTGCTATGCCAAGTGGGGAGCTGCTTAGGGAGGGGAGCATGAGCAGGGGCATGGTGACCGCTAGAGCCCAAGGTTTGGGCAGATCAGAAGAGAAAGTTCCTGAGCAGGAAGGGTGGGCAGCACTGATTCCAGTTCAGGAGGTGGAGGTGGAAAGTCCCCATCACGCCTAACGGGGTTGGACCAGGCTAGGCACGCCAGGAGCAGGCCTCCTGGGTCTCTGCAGCACACTTCAGAGTTGGAGGGGAGGGAGATTGTTTAGACTAATCCTCAGCCTCTGCACTCTGGGCATTCTGGACTGGATAGTTCCTTATTGTTGGTATTGGTCCTGTGCATCCCAGGATGTTTAGCAGCATTCTTGATCTCTAACTACTACTGTGTACCAGTAGCACCTGTCACCCAGTGGCAACATAAACGTCCTCAGTCATTGCTCAATACCCCTGAAGAATGTCCCATCTACCCTGCAGAGATCACTGGTTTAGAGATCATTTTTTAAATTTTTTATTTATTTTTATCTTATGTGTATTAGTGTTTTGTCTGCATGTTTGTAAGTGCACCACATGTACACCTGCTGACCAAGGAAACCAGAAGAAGGTGTTGGATCCCCAAGAACTGGAACTATGGACAGTTGTTAGCCACTATGTGGGCACTGCAAACTAAACTCGGGTCCTCTGTAAGAACAGCCAATGCTGTTAACTGCTGAGCCAACTCTCAAGCCCCTAGAGATCATTTTTCCTAGGGCTGAGTCCGTGTTCCAGGGATTTCCATGGGCCCAGGAAAAAGTGTTTGTTGCTAGTAGACTGTTGACTATAGCTGCTCTGCTCCGCACCCAGCACTTTCAAAGTCTACTGTGTAGTGCTCAGTGGGCATGCCTTTCCTCCTTCCATCCTGATGTTGCTATGCCCCTTTTTTTTGTCACTTATTACTCCCCCAGGGATACACTTATTAGACACTCAGGTCCACTGACTTGCTTGCCAACCTGTACTAGTCCCCACTGGCTACCTCACAGTACTTTACAGTGGATCTTTTGGGGGTGGAGTGGCATTGGAAACAGAACCCAAGGCCTTATGCATGCCAAATAGGCACTGTATCACTGGGCTACATCCCCAGCCTGGGAATGGGCTTGATGCTTAGAAGAGAAACTTCTCTTCATTATTATCTTTCACAATGCTCTTGCTTATTCATCAGTACTTTCTCTTACATTTCTCTTAATTATCTATTTATTGCCTGCCTGTATGTAAGTGCACCAATGTCATGCAATGCCTGCAGAGGTCAGAAGAGGGCATCAGATTTCCCTGAAACTGGTGTTAGGGATGGTTGTTAACCACCATGTGGGCACTGGAAATCAAACGTGGGTCTTCTGCAAGAGCAGCCCGTGCTTTTAACCATTGAGCCATTTCTCCAGCTCCAATCTACTTTTAAAAAAAATATTTTCATTCATGTTTTGTGTACATGTACCTAAGTACACCCATGTCATGCAATGCCCACAGAAGTCAGAAGAGGGCATAGGATCCCCTGGAACTGGAGTTACAGACAGTTGTTAGCTGCCATGTGGGTCCTGGGAATCGAACCTGGGTCCTCCATAAGAGCAGTCAGTGCTCTTATCCTCTGAGCCATATCTCCAACCCCACCCCATTCTATTTTTAAGGTCATTGTGGTAATATATTTTTATTAGTGTATATTCATTCTACAAAATACTTTCATTATGTCATTTTCTTTTTAATTTTTATTATTTATTATTTATTTAGTGTGCATATGTTTGTGTATGTATGTGGGTACATATCATGGTGCCCGTTTGTCAATCAGAGGATAACTTCCACCATGTGGTTTCTGGGGCTCAAACTCAGGTTTTCAGGCTTGGCTCAGCACTTGCTGAGTCATCTCATTGACTGTTTTGTGACAGTTTTTCCTTGGAATGATGCAATGTACACACATCATTTCACCCCAGAAATAGATGGGCACCCACTACAGACCGAAGTTCACCAAACTTGGTGGACCAGTGAGTTTTTGTTGGAGTTTGTGCTGGGAGTG